AAGGTGAAGCAAGGAACTTAGGGAAACCTCTCTGCAGTTGCAGTAACGCAGGGGACTAGATTGGTATGTATTGGGTTTACGGACACGACTAGTTTTTACCAACAGACCGTTGCTGCGAGCGCCCTTGAGCAATACAAGTGGCCTAAAAGCCCTGGAGCCCTAACAGCTGAACCCTAAACCCTAAACCCTCAACACCCTAAGCCATGAACTCTGCGAACCCCGGATCGGGAAACATATGTTATATCTCAGATGGTTATGATACCTAATCCCTTAACGTAAGCCGTAAACATACGATATTTCAGATGGCTAGTCCCTAAACCTCTAAGCTGTAGAGCCTATTTTAATTCTATATCTCAGATGGTTATGATGATTTCTGCAGCTTCGCAGCACACCGGCAGTTTGGTGATCAGAGATGTATGGGATTGAGGGTCCTATCATAGGTTCAGAGGACCACCTTACGCCCCGAACCCATGAGGGTTTAGGGTTCGGGGGGCGTGGGCTTGACAATTTGGGCTTATAAGGGGTTTAGGATTTAAGGGTTTAGGGTTTAGAAAGACAAGCGCATCTGCCAGATCAGCAATGTCAGGGAGGAAAAGTTAGGAGGAGCCTCGGGTTGCTACCTGGCGATGTGCTCTTTTTTGTTGGCAGAACCCTAAACCCTAAACCCTGGGTCTCTTCTTTCCGGGCTGATAAGGGCCATTTCAGGAAAGGTCTTATAGTGTTTACGCGGGATCTCTTGGAGGTGTCCTTCTAGTAACTCTAAACTCGAAACCCTAAACTACGGTTCAGGGTTTAGGGTTTAGGGGTCCTCTTGTTTATGCAACTAAGTCGAACCTGCTGCGATTCGCCCGCTGCCTGGGCCTGAGGAGGCACGGGTCCTGCGACCGTGCTGCAATGAAGTCCGGGTACTTGGAGGCTTAGGGCAGTTGTAAGTTGGGTTATATGGTTCAGGGTTTAGGCTTCAGGGTTTTTTTAGTGTAGGGTTTGGGCTAAAGGTTTAGGGCTTAGGGCTATTGGGTTTGGGGTTCAGGAACGCGTCAGCTGTCCTGGCGTGACGTTGCAAGCCAGTTGAAAGAAGGGTTACCCAAAGGGTCCTATGTACCTATATTAGAAGAATGTAGGGTTTCTATATTGGGGAATTACTATGATGATTTAGGGAAGTATCCACCATAACAGTACATAGGACCCTTTGGGTGAGGGGTGTTTGGACATGAGACATACCACATGACTTTCGGAAAGACGGGATGGAGAACGAAGTCCAATTACCATAGTCTCCATTGTAGTTCCTTGTTGGGGTTTCCTTATAGGATCCTAATTATAAAGTTGCTTAAACCAAAAAAAGGAACTACAATGGAGACTATAGGTAACTGCTTTAATCTGCAACACCTACTAAGCCTACAGC